AAGTGCGCTGTCGTGCGCACAGTGAGAATGAACATTTATACGGCCCTGGTCTCTAATTAGCGACACGGGGAGCGTTATTAAAGGATTCCATCATAGGCATTGGAGCAACCGGGCGGTGTACGATCGGATGGATGACGCGAACTTGCATGGTGACCAGGCAGCATTGGAGCGATGACAGAACGAAAATCATTTCCAACTGTTATTGGAGAGAAAGATTGTTCGCATCTCTCTCTTTCTCTCTCTCTCTTCTGGTGCGCTCACAGCCAGGGGAACATAAGAAGTTCGCTTTCATTTTGAGATAAGCTGGAAAAGTAACTCAGAAATGACGCAAATTTGAGTGCACCCTTCTTTTTTTTTCTAAAGAAAAAAAACTGTTGCGGAACGTTTTCGATCACCACATATAAAAGACGATGATTGAAATGATTTATAAATAAATAAATATTTATTTATTTATTTATTTATAGCGGCATCGTAGTTGCCGCTATAAGTACACAGTTAAAGGTTGAAGTTTCGCGAAATTTTGATGTTGTCGTGTGGGCAGTACCCTTTGTTTTCTCGTGCTCGGAAGTCACAGCGGGGCTGGTGGTTCTCGTGGTCACGTTCTCTGCGCCCATGTCGTTTGGGTGCTTTTTAACGCGACAGCGTTAAAGAGCTCATTTCGTAGAAAGAAAGAAACATTACACTATCTCCCACTAAACGGAAGCCGCGCATGAGTCGACTTGAGTTCCGCTCATCACGGGCACCTTGCCCGCTGTTAACGCGTTCTCGCCAGTAGAGCGCACCATGAATTCACTGCAGTAGTTGCTCTTCCGGAACGCCCGTTGGAGAGCGAGAGCACGTGTGTTTATCGCGCGTCTGCAGAATCTCCTTCCCCAACGGCATCACGTGATTGCTGAGAGAGTGTAAGGGGAGAGAGGGCGCAGCCTTCTACACAGCCACTTAGGCTGGCCTAAAGACGCTACCGCGTGCCAATGCGTTCTGTTGGATTCTGGGATTTAACTTGTTGTTATTTGAATTTAACTTGTTGGGTTCTGGGATTTAACTTGTTATTGGGATTTAACTTGTTGGATTCTGCGATTTAACTAATTAAAACCACGATATATTCGAAGCACGCCGTATACTGGAGGGCTCCGGAAATTTTGACCACCTGGGGTACTTTAAAGGAACACCAAAATGAACTATTTTGACTGTACATTTAAAAAAAAAAAAACATGGTTGCTCTAGACGCCGCTTGACTTACATTGCCAAAACCACATCAAATTATACATAGATCGGCGACGGCCGGTACAGACCAGAACGCCGAGGAAAGCAGATTTACACAGTTTGCCTACGTGGCCAAAATCGCAACGACACGCAGAACAATGCACATCGGCAACACTGAACACTGAATCTCTGACTAACAAGTTCTCCGAAGACTAGTCAGTTGTCATTGTGCTTCAGTCACCGTTAGACGCACTTCGCGTGTTCGTCGATCTCTGCAACGGCTTGACTGGATGTTCTATGTCCCAGCACATACAAGCCTTCAGTGTAGGAATGATTATCTACAGTGGAATTTGACACGCCTGACTTCCTGCGTCCTTATATCCACGGAACACAGCAGTGTTGTTTAAGCTCATGCGATTTTTTTTATGCTTCCTTCTTTCTATCTCCCTATTAGGATAGCGAAGCGCACGCTCGTCTGGTTGACCATCCTGCCTTTCCTTCCTCCTCCCAGAGTGCAACAGTGAAGTGGTCTAGATTTACAAATTGTACCATGAGAACTCCAATTAATTTCACCATCATAGGTTTACTAAAACATGAGAAAATTGAGGTAAAATATTCAATTAAACATTTCGCGACGGGGGTGATGTGTTACGCTAAAATTATCCCCACATGGACACTGTTTGTATTGTAAATATTCTTAAGACGACAGAAAGTTGCGCCTTTCTTGTGTCCGTGTTTGCGCGCAAACGGTATATTATCGTGAATTGCAAGTAAACATGTAAATCAATATTTATCTTTCGTTGCGTTTGTTGCTTTTGTTAATGAAACGTTGGCATTCGTCTTGCCGTTCTTCGGGCTGGCCACGTCAATACTCATTTACTGGATCGCCTAGCAAACAATCTTCGTGGGTCTTGCGTACTCTTGTAAAAAAGAAAAAAAAAAGACACCCGCGATTTGATGATTACGCCTTCTTCAGACTCTTTTTGTCTTTTTAATGATGTTAAACGGATTTGCTCGAGCGGGAGTGTGTAATTACTGTGTATATATATATATATATATATATATATATATATATATATATGCAAAAGAAGTGTGCCACACTCGCTTCATAGCTACAGGTGGCGCTGACTGGCATTCCCCCGTTTAAGTCACATATATACCCAATAAAGTGGATAGCCGCCGAGGTAGCTCAGTTGGTAGAGCATCAAACGCGTCATTCGAAGGTCGCAGGTATGGTTCCCGCCCATGGCAAGTTATCTTTTCGCCCGCTTTTCTTTCTTCACAGTTACATTACAATTAGGTCTAATAACTTCCACCATACTTCCTTGACATTATTGCCTGATCTTATTATCTCATTAAGATTATATATATATATATATATATATATATATATATATATATATATATATATATATATATATATATATATATATATATATATATATATATATATATATATATATATATATATATATATATATATATATATAGTCAAGTAGATCCTCCGTGAGCGGTCACAACGTGGTTTATTTCGACGTTTCGGCCTAGAGTAGGCTAGACTCTAGGCCGAAACGTCGAAATTGAAACGTCGAAATAAACCACGTTGTGACCGCTCACGGAGGATCTACTTGACTATATGCAACGCTAAGGCCACTCAACCATCATGCCTGCATATATATATATATATATATATATATATATATACATATATATATATATATATATATATATATATATATATATATATATATATATATATATATATATATATATCAAGGAAACATTAAAACGGTGCTTTTGTCATGGGTGTTGCACCTTCTGTTTCTTTTCAAAAGAAAAGGTTGCTGTTGTGCGTGTCGCAAAAAAAAAAAGAAAAGAAAAAAAAGCGCAGCCATCGTGCAGTGCAGCGGCCGGTGGTGCGGTTTAGCGCCGGTTCGTGTGCGGCCAATTCCCTTTTGCTCTAGCGTGCATCGGCGGCGCCATCTGGGAGTATTTTCGTAAAGCATTTGGCGCACGGCTTGTGGGCGACGCCAAGGGATACCGGAATCCGGTTGCATAGTTCAGTTGGCGTTGCATTGCGCTATAGTAGCCGATTGAGCACAGAAATCGCGCGAAAACTTGTGCCGTCGCGACACTCTACCATGTGGTCGATTTGACTGACTATTGAGACTTTTTGAATGCAGCAGCAGTGGCTCAAAAAGTATTTATTGCCGAGATAGGTAGGTAGAAACAGAAAAAAAATGGTATTTTTTTTTTAACCGGCTGTGATTTCGCGCCATTCACATACACTTTTTTTCCCTCGCTACCTATAAACGGTAATTAATATAAGGAAGAATAATAATAAGTAATAATATTATTTGTGGTTTTACGTCTCAAAACACTATGATTATGTAGGTAAATGCCGGGAAGGTGCAGTTAAATACTTCTCTCCTGAGGGATACGGGTGCACTGTCATTTATCACCAGGTATTTGAGGCATTTTATTTCATCCGCCAGTTACTTAGGAAGGCAGTGCCATTAGTGAATCACAGGTTACTAGGATATTCATTGAGTCTTATCCCAAACTGCTTCCTATTCTCACTACCTTATGCTATAATTTGAATTGTATTGCTTAATTTGCTTTATTTGGGAGGGAGGACTATTGTGGCTCCGAGCCTCTGCAGATGTCTTCTTGTATTTTCAGATACGGTTCATCTACACCCTGATTTCATAATGGCTGCATGACTGTTAAGGTTTTGACGGAATAAAATGCTGTCTCATAATTTATGAAGGATATATATATAGTTGTTGGTTACATTACACACATTTCCCCATCATCAGCACGATAGTGTTAATGATAGTCTATTGTCCTGTCACCTTTACAAAACCCTGGTTGGTCAATATTATGGCATATTCAGTGTCCATGTGTTTAAAAGTGGCTGGTTAATTTACCCCTGTGCTATTAATTGCTACCTTCCTGATTGGTTCAATAGGTTGAATGATCACCTTGAAAATATGTTGTTTCTGGGTTCAAGCCTCCGACCAGCAAAGATTGTTTTGTCAGCTGAGGAGCTTTTTACTTTCGGAAAAATCTGTATGGATTTCTGCGTCGCTTTGCACTGCAAATAGGTCATGTTAATTTTCACAAAAGATTTTTTGCCACTGATTTGCTTTAATAAGGTTAAGTTTTGTACAGTAATGAATAAGGAAATTATTACAAGGTAAATAATAAAGTAAGAGAGCAGGCTGCTAGAAAAGCTACCGGTCAGGGCCAGTGTGAAATGATGTGTTTGACATGTATGCCGAGAAATTGTTGTGGTTGGTTGGTGTTAGTTGAATGGATTAAAAAAATCATGCTTTTTAACCTCTACCCAAACTAAAGCGTATCACAAACCACTGCATTGGTCCGAGGGGAAAAGTGGACGACCTGACCAAAGGTCTTCTCTTCTCTGTGGTGTTACATCGAATGTTTGCAGCTACATCAACCCAAATGTGACTTTTCCATTACTTGGTTGCAGAATCGCTAGGCGTGATGGACAAGACTCGTTTTGTCTGTGCTTTTTGTCAACACCTTATTTTTTGAAACCCCCAGTTTGCCGAAAGCTGCCTAATATGACTACAATTAATTTCTCACTTTATTTCTTATTGTGCATGACATTGCCCATGGAAGGTTTCAGGCGCACTGTTTATTCATGGACATTCTGAGCAGATGTGCCCCGGTGCCAATCTGCCATTTCTTGTAGTGGTAAAATTGAATGTTGCGTCTGTGCCAAGTCATGTTGCCTGCATGTATGGAATTCGTTCATTGGTCGTTTGCAGGCACTCAGCAGCTGCTGGCATGTACCCAATGCCCCCGATGGCTTCCGGGGGCTTCAGGGGAGGCAGTAGCTACGCGCCGCCTTTGCCCAGGATCAACCCTCCTCTACTGCCTTCAAGTATCATGCCTCACGGCTTGCACCCGGCTCTAGTCACTCCGGGCCCCAAACAAGAACTCTCCTCCCCTCTCCCTGACACAAGGTATCAGTCGGGAAAATGTGCGCAATCAATTTGAAGCACATCTATGTTTATTTACTTGATATAGGTTAGTGTCCTTTTAGCTGCTACCTTTGCAGCTTTTTTTTATAGTTCAGTTGTGGTACACCTCTAGAGTTTGCTTACTTGATGCCACTTGAATACGCGAATCGGTCAAGTTATGTGATATGCGTTAATTTGTGTTTATGACTGTAGTGTATTATAATTGAGACGTGAATTGAAGTGGCGCAAATGAAAGGGGCAGATTTACTAGTCGAAAATCTAGCGCCCGTCAGTGCCTTAAACGTTTCAGTCCAACTTCACTGGCGTGTGGCGACACCCCGTGTCAGTCGCAGTAACCACGCAGCACGATCCAAGGCCGCGTGATCGGCGCGCGTCGATACAGGCGGTCGTGCACGATCGCTTGTCGTGTATGCCCGAGCGCCGTGAAAACGTGAAAACGGGCCTTTTTTTTTTTTTTTACGCTAGCTTCATCGGAGGGTGGTAGTTCAGAATACTGATTGCGATTTTCGAAGCGGTTTCGATAGATCACGCGATGTTGGCCGAGGCGCGAAGCTGGCGAGGTGAGAAGGGGCGAGCAAGCGTGCGCTGGCAAGTACACTGGCGGTTTAGGGAACCACGGTGTTGACCGGTGAATACCGTTGTAGTGATGTGAGAAGACACGAGCGCGCGACTACAGCACAAAGATGGCGTGGGTGGAAGTGTGTGCAGGATGCCCGGTACTGCATCGCACGAACGCACGAGAATGTAAGTGTTGAAGCAGACGACTCCGCTAATCGAAACCGGAAGTACTTAGGTAACTTCTTCGGAGCTTCTTAAGGTAGGCACATGTATACATTTTGTTTATGAAACTCGGAAAGCGCAATAAAAGTTGTTTGAGATTTTTTTTTTCGTGATCATAAAATGGCTCGGTCGATGGGCGCGTCCCTCCCATGGTCCGCGCAGAATGCCGAGACCAGAGCGATCGATTTTCTGCTGGCTTGGAAACGAAATTGTTAATTCCCTGCCGTGGGGCTGTGCTGTAATAACTGGCTCCCGTGTTCGCGGTAGCCTCGATTGGCAACGTTTCCCGACCATCTTCAGAAAGTGCCCCAAACCCCTTTTTGAGGATTTACTCCTCAGTGTTTCTTTACATTCAGATTTCTTCCATGCTTCTTGGATGAAACTTGTGAAGCTTGTTCATCTCATGCATTCAGAACGGACTTTTGGAATGCACATTGGTGGTAGGATCTCATTTCTATACTGAGAGAATATTCCTGTTGGTTGCCTCTAATGAGCTGGTATTTCAGCTATTCAGTTAGAAACCACTCTATTTTTTTGCATTTAGAAAGGCCATAACTGTTGGGTGTTTATATATATATATATATATATATATATATATATATATATATATATATATATAGTTGACATCGCCATGATACAGTAGGTCAGGTTTACTCTTTGTCCTTCGAGCATTTCCATTTTTTTTTTCTTCTTTTACTCCTTGTTCCTTTCAGCGACATGCATGGATAATCATGCCTCACCGGCCAAAACAGTGTAATTGGGAAATTTAGAAGACGTCGAGTATATAGTGCAACATTTATTGGGGCGCTCTGGTTCGTTTTTTGACAGGTGCAATTGTAATGCCATAGACATCACAGAAAGTGTAAGACATTGCTGTTTTTTTTTCCCTAGCATGGCACCAATAATGCAGTATGCTAGCATTACCAGTGTTCGCGTTTTTTTGGTGTTTGGTATGTGGCACAGCAGTGCCTGAAATGAATAGTGTGGCCGAAGTACTACTTCACTTCAAGAGATCTGCCACTATCATGCAATTTTGGAATGCTGGGAAAATCTTGAATAATATGCACACCCCAGCAAAATGAACAGTAGGTTACAGGAAGAAACGGCATAATTATTCCTTATGAAGGTACAGAAGTTTCTTCCTGTTCTGGTCTATTAAAGGTGTACAAAAATTTTTCACCTTGTTTTTCTTGTTGCAAGAGGTAGCTTATGACCCACTTATCACGGCTGGAAACCTCGGGTGCACGATGGTTATTTTTGCAGTAATAGCTGTTATGAGGTCACAACTAGGATTGCATGTGCCGTCGTAGTTATCTGCCGCCGCTGCCCGTAACCACAATCACACGAAATAAGACAAAAAAAAAAAACCTTTTTGGAAAGGAATCGTGTCAGTATGAGTGATAAAGCACTTTAGAACTGCAAAGGAACAACCAGGCATCACATAATGCGAATCGCACAACTAGTGGGTCGTCCAGTGCTCCAACTCGTTACAAAAGCTTGTTCTTGTTCACCTATTAACTCTGGCACATGCCCACTTCAGGCATAATTCCTTGTCGTCAGCCACTGCATCAAAATTAGCACAAAATTGTTTGCAAGTGTGTAGCAAATACCACGCTTCATCTAAGAATGACGAAGGATAGCATAACGAATGCCAGCCTGCTACACAAAATTTATGATTATTTATGGCGTCATGGCTACCAAGCAAGTGTGCTTTTTAGCACTTTGTCAAATAGCGTGTTCTGCTAGGAAGGCGAACACAGCTCACCACGTGACCACTTAAAACTGTGACACGGCCGCCACGCGCTAGAGGGCGCCACACTGACACCCACCACAGCTAGCAGACACAGAGGAGTCGCAGTAACAGAGGAGGAAATTGCAGGCAACGCAAGTGTAGGGTGCGTGCCAAGCAAACAGCCGACATCAACTTGTGACGTAGGTTTGTTTACACTCCCCCTGCGTTGATGTCGGCGTCGTGAGGGGCTTTGCATCTCACTCAGTCATGGGGCATGTACTTTAAAATTGATCTTAAATATATTCTCGGTTATATTTGCCCATGAACTTTCGTAGATGTTGTGTATGTCTCTAGATGCCCCGCTGTGGTGGTCTAGTGGCTAAGGCACTCTGCTGCTGACCCGCAGGTCGTGGGATCGAACTCCGGGTGCGGCGGCTGCATTTTCGAATGAGGCGGAAATGTTATAGGCCCGTGTGCTCAGATTTGGGTGCACGTTAAAGAACCCCAGGTGGTCGAAATTTCCAGAGCCCTCCACTACGGCGTATAATCATAAGGTGGTTTTGGGACGTTGAACCCCACATATCAATCAATGTATGTCTCTAGATAACTCTAATTCACTGATTTAATTCACTGATTGTCTCGCCTTCAAAATTTTGTGTCGTTCCTTTAATAGTATATTATTGATCAAGTTGGGAAGCACAAGTTTGATATGTGATATTTTTGAAACTGTATTGATTTTTATTAAATATTTGGGCAACAATTAGCAAAAAATTAAACTGATAAGGTAAAGATTTCATTGGAGTACATAGAGAGATACGGTACAACAAAGCATTTGAACGTTGCCTGCTTTTTCTGTATCGTTTTTATAATGCAATATCTTCCATTTCTCTTACTGACTCTACTACACATTACAAAGCTGCTCTGTTTTGCCATGAATGCATATGGCAAATTATCTTCATCTGGATCACTCGTATTACAGCATAAATAGTTTTCAATGCAGGGGCACTTTAGCTTTGTCAGTAATCTCTATGCATAATGAGTGTTTTGTTATACAGTAAAACAGGGAGCCAACAATAAAGGCTATTTCATTGTGTGTAGTTTTGTAGCTCTACAGTCAGGGTTTGTTGCTGGTACAAATGCAGTGTGGGCCCTGCATTTCCCAGGCACCCACTAGCCATGTACCACCCACTGGACTCCAAGTGCAACCAGGGTCGACCAAGCTCCCGTGGTGACTTGGTGAATGGCGTGTCGGGTCTCAATGGCCATGGTAGTGGGCCACCTCCCAGCCAGCCACCAGGCCACCCACCTAGCAATGGCAGCAGCAGCAGCAGCCAACCGCACCAGCCACAGCAGCAGCAGCATAATGGCACAGAGAAGAAGCCCCAAAAGCCGACTAACCATGTCAAGAAGCCCCTCAATGCCTTCATGCTGTACATGAAGGAAATGCGTGCCAAGGTAGTCGCTGAGTGCACCCTCAAGGAGAGTGCGGCCATCAACCAGATTCTTGGGAGACGGGTGCGCTCTTTTCTGCTCTTTCTTTTCTTTGCGTGGGCTAATCCAGTTATACTCAAATTGTTAAGTGTGGGGCTGTGCTGATGCCTCCAGTTTAATATTTTAAACTAGAGTTCTTTACCCCCTGAAAGTAGAATATTGAAGCACATTGCGAGCAACATGTAAAAAGATTCTCTGAAGAGTACTTGTTTTGTAAAGTTCTTCAACGAATGTACATTACATGAAGTAATATACATCTGTTAATGTACATCCTATATAAGAGGCATGCTTCAAACAGCTATTCTTGGCCTTTATACAAGATGTCTAATATAAGCAGGGTGCCTTGTATGCATTTTCTTATCAACCTGTATTTCACTGTAGGCACACTCGTGTCTCTTATGTCAGTGTCTCTTATAAAGGGGTTCGACTGTAATGGCTAGACTGGAGTTGCTAATAACAGCCGGCTGCCCGTTGCTTTTCTGCAGTTGGGTGTGCTACAGAGTTATGCTACAGCGTTGCTGGTGTATTTGGTGGTCTGATTCATATCCTCTTTCTTTTTCTTTTCCAGTGGCACAGCCTTTCCCGAGAGGAGCAGTCAAAGTACTATGAGATGGCACGCAAGGAGCGGCAGATTCACATGCAACTCTATCCGGGTTGGACGGCGAGGGACAATTATGCTATCAACAGCAAAAAGAAGAAGCGGAAGAAGGACAAGAGTCAGGATGCAGGTAAGTTGGTCCCTAGCTTCACCTTTTGTGCCTGTGTCTGTAGCACTGTGTCCTGCTCTCTCAGTCAGTCACTGGTTGTCATAAACACCGGACATTTTTAATGGTGCTTACCGGATGCCGACATTTCTGAATTTGAGTGGTGCGTCCTCTCTAATTTCCACAAAAGCTAACCAAAAAATCATCTTTTGAAAATAAGAGCAGGTTGATAAATATTGAAAAAATGCAGATACCACAGAATGTAAGCAAGGAAACTTGGGTGCAGAGTGGTGGAATGAGAGTAGGAGTTTGCTGTTGACTGCTCAGTGGTTTCTGTGCTGCCATGATTCTTTGTTTGAAAAGTTTTTCTTGTACAGTAAAAGCTCTTTAATATGAACTTGAAAGGGACTATAAAATTGTTCGAATGAAGCAAAGATGAAATTACCGTCGGGTACTAGAATGAACGGGCATCACATCACACTGCACAGGCTGAACTTAAAGAAGCAACCTTAGGGCTCGTTATTCCAAACCAGGCACCAGGACATGTTCGTGGCAGGTAATTTCGAAAATTAAGTCCATGGAGCCTCAACAGTGAACATAATTTTAACCGATAGTCAGTGATGCACCAGTTCGGGTGCACGTTAAAGAACCCCAGGTGGTCGAAATTTACGGAGCTTTCCACTACGGCGTCTGTCATAATTATATGGTGATTTTGGAACGTTAAACCCCACATATCAGTCCTCAATCAATCAGTAATATGCCAGAAACAAGCACCGACATGCACTTATGCGAGTGGCAGTCCATGTCGAAATACATAACACTATTTATGCTGCAACACACATTTATTTACATGGCAGAGTCAAGGGGGAATGACGGGCTAAAAACACAATTTTTGAAAACGAAATTTCATTTTCAAATTTAGTTTGTTTTGGGTAAATGGTGCAATAAGAATGTTCGCCAAGTTTGGTTGTCATGTATACAGCAGAAAGGAATAGAAAAATTGTTTTTATGAGAGGGTGGTACAGATTTGTTGAGAAGAGGGTCTTTGAATCGCACCTTTCAAGACACGGCTACAAAGTGGGCAAGAAACTGAACGCAGGGTGAATGCCCGTGTTAGATTGTTTGTTTGTATCGGAAATCGGTGGTGGGAGTTATTCTCAAACAAACTGGGTAGGGCATACTTGACGGTTTTGGGAATCTAGAAATGTACAATTAAGTGATTGAAACAGCCTGCTTGTTGGCAAAAACATGAGATTTTTATCAGCAAATCTTTGTATACAGAACTCTCTGGTACGAGCACAATTGGGAGAGAAATTGAGCATTTGCATTCAGCTGAAATGCTGCTTGTTGAATGCCAAGTATTGCAGTATAGTCCCAAGCTGATGCTTAATTTCATTTCAAAAGCTCTGTAAACTTTCATTCACTGACTTCGCATAACATTTGCGCTTTCACACTCGTAGATTTACCACCGAACCTTTGACTTACACTACCAAGTGAAGAGATTGATATTGACCACTATGTCGATGGCTATGTAGACGATGCACTCACTTTATGTTTTGAACATTGAAACATTGAAGAAAAAAGTGCATGTAATACATGACGAGCGCTGCTCTATGAAAGCAAGCAGTGTGAGCAGATGAATGAAAAGGCAGCTATTCTGCAAGAATGTATCAGGTGACAAAAGGCGAGTCCCCAGCTGACGTAACACGAGATTTTTGCAACAGACAAAGCAAAAGAATAGCTGGCACTTCTTTGTGTATCGTCCGCTTGTCTTCCGAAATGAAATTTCTTCACAGCATCTGTGGAGAAGTACTCGTTTCTTCATATTGTCCATTAGTTCCTCTCTTTTGGGGGGAAAGCTAGTGCTTTGCAAATTGACATTGCTAATGTTGTTAGCTGGTGCAGAACTCTGCACATGAACCTTAAAATCATCTTAAAAAACATATTTTTTTCCACATGGATGAGATTTCACTTACATCTTTCCTATGCATTTTTTTGTTTTTATTTTCAAGACCCAGTTTCGGGCAACTTTTTCAGTTCAGACATCATGTTTTTAGTACTTCTGATTTCCCGGCCAGAATGAAACTGTGCCCACATATTCCTTAACATGTGAAGGGTGCAAGTATCTTCTTCAAAACTTGATATCGCCTGTTTAATTATTACCAACCTAAAGTAAGCAGTTATTATGGGCTAAGGATTCCAGTATTTTCACATTAAAATTTTTTTTGTCCAATAAAATGTCTTATACACACTTTCTTGGTAGTTATTTGCATTGCCCTGTTAATGTGCAGTAATATGAGCCATTTTTTGTATGCTTAAAAACAATGAAAGTTTGACATAAAATGTTTGTCTAAAATGAACTACACTTTACACATTGTCACAGCACAAAACGAAAACTGTGCATCTTACTATAAAACTATTTACATATTTGAAATCAGCACAAAGACTTTTATATACTGCAAAAATTTTATTGTGCTAGGCTACAGATTAACGCACTTTTTTTTTCTTTATAATCTCGTCTCCCCGTAACTGCAAGTCTAGTCACACGAGCCTAGCTTATTGCATTTCGACCTGGTAACCATGCTCTTTCCCTGACATGTCAATGGTTTCTGTCATATATTGTTGGTCCTTATCAAGTACTGTGCTATGTCTGCTTTTAATGCAGGGGTGAGACAGCTGCGCATATTGTGCATTTTTGATACCTTTCCATTTTGTAGCACCAAGCTGCTCCAAAAGCATAAAAATTGTAAATGTTCCGCCAAACTGCTCTAAAACAGCCTCGAAAGCTAGAATTTTGATGCCAACCTAAGCTTCGGTGGGGAAAAAAGCCGAGTTGACTAATAAGACGCGCCCAATCGTGTTTGTTTTTACTTTGCATCTGGAATACGGTGACACCATGCATGATGTTGCCATATTCTCCTCTTAAATGTTGTAAATATGCGTGACCCCGCAAACATGTGCTGCCGTGCATTGAGCGTGTCGTCTGGTGCCAATGTCGCCTAGCAAAAACCATTGAGTCAATTGGCGAGCATAGCGGAGTGGACTCTTAGGTTCTTTATTGTGCGTAGCGCGTTCCTTTGGTCGCTGCGGTTTTCATGTGGACGCTGCTGCGTGGGGTCACCTACGCCTGCACGTTTGACATGAGCGAGTAACTGTAGACGTGGAGTCAATTCCATGCATGCGACTGGTCTCCTGAATGCTCCAACGCCTGCACATGGGTTCTCAAAATGGGTTCCGTGAGAGATAAAACGAGTGCAATCCATTCCCGGTTTATGCCTATTAGCTACTAATTTATTTCAATAGACAAGGGAGTTCTCATTGCATGTAAAAAAGCAATTGCACGCAAAGTGCGCACATTGGCGTCCACAGGTAGAGAGAAACACTTGGTTATTTGCGAAGCCGTGGTGACAGAATGCGCGTTCAAACCATTTTAAACTGTATTAACGGGCACCTTGGTGCTTATTCACGACTTGTGACGCGTCGGCGATCACCTGGCACAGTTTTCATCAATGGTGATTTGCCACTGCTATATTTTGTAATCTAAACTCTCAGCAAGTTCTTTAAGAAGCATCGCTGCGTGCCGGTTCAGGGCTGTGCGAGATTTTAGGCTTAGCTTTATGTTCAATCGGTGTTTCGGTCAGCGGCCGTTCTTCAGGGTGACTTCAATTATTTTTGTTTTATTCTTTCTTTGCAATAAAACCGGTCACTGTGCATTCGGCGGTTATATTGCGTGGACACGACTTTCTAACCAGCGCTCCGCGGTGCTAGCGCTTCACGTGAGTCGTGGCGCGGGCGGCATTCACAAGTTACTGTATTATTGGGAGTTCTACATCAATGGTGATGACCTACAATATTAAAAAAAAAAAAAAACATTAGAACCTGTCAACATGTGCAGTAATAATAAGGCATGGTTGCTCACGTGGAGAGGCATTATCACTACCATTCCTTTGTTACTTAGTGCCATATGCATGCGTTTTACGACTTTGTGCGGCAAGGTTTCTTGGCTCCCATACTGCTGCTCTATTGAAGGGTGTTTCGCATGAGGCGGCCGCGAACAGCGGTGCTGTGCGCTTTTGTTGTCTGTCAATAGCTCTTGAAGCTATTATGTCAGGTTCTTCTTTAAGTGAAGGACCACCGTTACGTAACTAAGATTCTTGTGCAATCACAATTTTTGAATTTTTTCAAAGTGTGATGTGTTTTTCTTTTTAAATGTTTCTTGGTACCTAGTTTTCAACAAAACCTTTTTTTAAAATATTATTTCACGTGTTTCTTACGAAGACTAGATGGGTCATGTGGTATTTAGAAAAGTAGTGCTGTGAATGCCTGGTGATAATCTGTTTAATAATTTCCTTGAAATTCTGTTTCAATGTTATGTGTATTATAAGCCAATGAAAATATGCACTGGTGCACCCACGTTGCTAAAAATTTATATTTTCAAGCTCCCAGGACCCTATATTAAATGCCGCTAGCTGCTCCCAAGCAAGGTTCTCCGGCTCCAAACTAGAAATTTCGCTGCTCCAAAAACCGCTTCCTATTTAGTTTCAGCCGTCGCACCCCTGTTAAGGTAATAATAATTGTTGGAGGTTAACGTTGCTTTTAATGTAGAATGGAGAGTGCACCAAATGGCAGCTCATACACTTGGGACTGCTGCTATTGCTAGTCCCTGTTAAGGTAATAATAATTGTTGGAGGTTAACGTTGCTTTTAATGTAGAATGGACAGTGTACCAAATGGCAGCTCATACACTTGGGACTGCTGCTATTGCTAGTGTGCTGACTGGTTGTCACTTGATATCTTGATTCACTCTTTGTGCGTGCATGTGTGTGTAATGAACCCGGCAAAATGGAGGTCAATGCTGTTATGTCATTTCTCAATATCATGTACAATGTTTGCACTGACTCATTATCAGTTATGTCATTATTAGTTATGAAAACCTTATTGTATAGACTGAACAGGTAGTCATTTGTGCTCAATTAAAAAAGAAAGAGTTCCTTGTACAACGCTAGTGAGAGTTCAGATAAATTCCTTCGTTATATTTTATTTCATTGCAACACTTCATTGGGGCAGCTGCTATATGAGCCATGATGGACCTTTAGAGGGTTCTTTGTGTGGCCTCGGCTAGAACTTTTTATAGAACTGTTGTCGACTGTTTTGAAATTACTTTTTAAATGAATCGAAAATGGCATCATGTTTACCATATCGTTGTCGACTGTTTTGAAATTACTTTGTAAATGAATCGAAAATGGCATCATGTTTACCATATCTCTTGCTATTTTGTTATTTTTGTCTTGCCATTCTAGTAGTACACTATTCTATGCCCTGTTTTCGTTTAGCTTTTAAAAGGCATTTCATTTTTCTCTGCTAAAGCCTCTTGCACTTCGCCCCTATGTGTTTGCTTCAAAGTTTCTATTTTTGGCGATTTCTGTGCCACCTTAGGGACACTATTTCTGGTATACTTTCATCTTTTTCAGTTCATGGTGGCCATGAGTTTTTTCTTTGCTTGGTTTATGATTTAGCAGTGTGTCCTTTTGTGTGCGTATGCTTGTGTGAACTTTTACACTTGCGTATGCCTTGCTGCTTTCTTCTTTCGCACATTCCGCACTAGTCTCTCATATCTTCTCTTTTTTGATTGTGACTTGACTCTGCATGAACCACACGCCAGGGCTCCTTTCACTGAATGGCTCGTTCGTTTGTTACACTTCTGACATGCAGCTGTGGCTAGGTCAATGGCAGTGTAAGTAAGATTTTGCTGAACAATTTCCTCCCTCTAGTTTTGGTCCTTGCAGTGAGCCTCCTGCCCGCTTGTCCTTTACTTGCTTCTGTTACCCTGCATGTGTGAATTCATGACTGCCTGCTTGTCGGCCAATATTGCACGTTTGATCAAATTTGAATGCCCTCCTTAGTTGTCATCTACAGCCAGAAACTTGGGCTTTTTCTTTCATTTTATTTTTCTCTGGTGATACGCTACATGTTATTTATTCTTAATGCATCCTATGTGCATTGCTCAGTTTGTCTGAATACCTAGCTTCTTTTGATGCATCCGTGAGACACTACAAAAAATATGAGCCAGTTTTTTTTGCAACAATTTAAGCACTGTGCATTGCTTTTGTTCTACCGCACTTTTCATATTCGGCTTCACAATCTTCTCGCACACATCAAAGTCCAGTTAGTAGCAGTCTTGATGCAGTAATAACTCTTTTTTTACGTCGTGAAAACAATAAGAAAGAATAAAGCATCATATTCAATTCTGTCTTAGTTGTGTACATCTGCCCCTCTTATGTAGAGAAACTGGTATCTCCAGTCTGCATGTTACAACTTTGATGCCACATTTCTAGTGCTTGTGAATTGTGCATTATAACTCATGGTCTTAACATATGAAATGGCATTTCTTGGCATCTCGTTTTGTTGCTAGATGTTTTGAGTGGAACATTTTATTTTTCGCATGATGCCTGTTTGGTGCTGACATAAAAAGTTGAGTTTTATACGGCAGTAATTTAGTGTGCATTGTCCCAAACTGCTAAAGATTGGTTGGCAGTGATTGTGTGCTCATCAGCGATTATCCTACAGTGCTGTTGAACCTTTTTTCTTGTTGTTTGCAGATCTAAACAATCCCAAGAAGTGCAGAGCAAGGTTTGGCTTGGACCAGCAGAGTGATTGGTGTAAGCCGTGTCGGTAAGAATGTATTTCTCTTTTCATTGTAGTCATTTCTAAATGAATGCCAAGTATGAAAGACTACACCACGGCATTAGTCTGGTATATATATGTTGAGCTTGAATATAGTAGGTTGACCCTCTGACACAGAAGTACCGTATTGGCTCATATAATGATTGCACTTGGGAAATGATTGCACTGCTGAATTTTGGTGGCAAATTTTAATCTTTTTTTCATCATAATTGCACCTTGAACGTAACAATGTCATCGCGGCGGTGGCAGTTACTGATGTTATGGCGCCACATGTTTGCTCATTTTTTATGATGGCCACTGCTAAAACCGCACTGAGGGGCTCCTTGCTTTTTACCATTTTGCTACAAATGCTGTGTGTGTCACAGATCTGCATCTGCGTCACGTGCTACGTGATGCCAGCAGGCAGAAAAAGAGTGTCACACGTGCGCCATAATTGCTCCTGGCGGCGCTGACTGACGCTAGCTCCCCCGTTTAAATGCACATATACACCCCATAACGTGGTAAAGCGGAAGGGGGTGGGGGGGGATGGCGGTCGCAGTATCTCAGTTGGTAGACCATTGGATGCATTATTCGAAGGTCGCAGGTTTGCTCCCTGCCCACAGCAAGTCATCTTTTCATCCACTTTTCCTACATTTTCATTACATTTACTACTAACGACATCCCCTATACTTTCCCTGACAATATTGTCTGTTGATTCTGATTAGTGTTGTGTCTAATCAAGAAAAAAAAAACGAGCCCTTAAAATTTCCACTTGCTTACATCTGCCGTAAAGGCTGGCAGACACCCAAGCACGACACTGTGCCACATAGTTTCTGTGATGGTGACATTGAATGCACGGTACCTTGACAGAGTCTGCAAGAATCCACAGACATATGTATAAGCATGGGAACGGGTGGAAACATGCAGTGAGCGTTCTCATCCAGGCAAACTTTTCGTCACCACATGCAGTGTATTACAGCAGAACATCGTTGATATGTTCCCGCTTAGTACGATTTCCCAATCTGTATGCTCGCAACCTCAAAAACTAAAAATAACCCAACAAAACCCAATGTTTTACACGTTCCAGTTAATACGTTCCCGGAAATTACGATTATTGCGCAGCAACATTCAGCAGCGAATGAAACTGCAGTCCTGTGATACATTCTGCAGCCAGAAACTCTCATTCAGATGTGCAAAAAGTACTTGTGAAAAAGTTGAAGCAAAAGTCGAGTTGTTTATATGCTTGTTTTCGCTGAGGTGTGTGCATGAAAACTTGTGCACTTATCCTTAAAGTAAAGCCTTTGTCTTTGTGTTTTCCCAGTCGAAAGAAGAAATGCATCAGGTACCAAGAGGGGCTTGATGGCAATGCAAACGAGAGTGAGGACAACATAGGCTCAGTGGAAGCCCCAACGCCTGAGTCGCACACGAGCCACGGGGGTGGGGATACAACCACCACAACGAGCACCGGCAGCCCCTGCACCAGCCTAGGCACTCCTGAGCCAAGTCCTGGGCCACCCGCACGACGTGCAGACTGCTACAGCCTCAACAAGCACCACCCTCTCAGTGTGCACCATCTGACAGGACAGCCACTTGTTAAGCGAGAGCCCGACGACGCTGTTGACATTCTGACTCCTCCATCTACGGATTCCTCCACCACTCCATCTTCCTTGCCCCTATTGACGGTCACGTAGCAAGAACTGCCAGTGGGGCGTTGTATTGTGCCTCGAGGACAGTGCAGTGACTGGGTGGCTCCCTACTTGCACATGTGCACAGGACTCCTTCTCCACTCTTCGCAGATTCTTTGAGCCCACTTGCAGCCAGCACACATAACTGGTGTTGTGCGAGTCTTGGAGATGGGCGTCGTCAACTGAACAGTACGAGGCCGCTGATGACCGAGAGATGCCCGTTGACCGCAGGTTGTGTGGCATGTACATCCAAGAGCCCTCAAGTTAAGCTTGAAGTCTTCATAGCAGTAGAGATTAAAACTTGTGCTCTGAGGTGCGTTAATACATACACACTTGTCATTGGCCTTGTGATGCCTGCCCTCACCGACTTGATTCAAATTCTCAATTCGCTCTTCTGTGCTGCGCGACATTATGTCATCATGATCAGGAGCTGTTGCAATGTGCCGCCATTGGTGCCGAAGTAGTGCCGTGAGGGCAACCTATGAAGGGTCCCTTTCCTTGACTGTGGTTTCTTGTAAATTCACTATACAGGATTAAGATGGCATGTGAAATGTCCTCCAATGCTCTGTAGGTATTGTTTGAGTACTCGCAGCAAGCAGCCTTTGGAAGAGGTAGTAAGTGGCTGTAGAGAAATTATGATGCAAAGGCAGTGAACAGCATCCCTTTGTTGCCTTGCCATTTGATCGGAGCTATCAATTTATCAATAAGTGTGAGCTAAAGCTTCCGATGCATAAGGAGACAAGCATTCGTGTGGGTCTATGATGCTGCTACACTCTTAAAAGGAGACTGTGTCTATTTCAGTGATTTCTTGCTGTTTTAACTGCTGAACATTCAATAAGTTTTCGGTCTACATTCAGTGCTGGGCACCAGGGTTTAAGCTCTTATTTTATGACCAAGTGTGTCTACATGATGAAACTTTAGTGCATGAAAAGAACACTGGCAAAGCAAGTGACAAACAACAGGACGATGCACTTACTTCCAACAGAATGTTATGAACCAGAAATAGAACATATACATTCACCCATGTGCACAGGTGCGAAGAGAATACCTGTCCGGGCCGACATTGCCGGTCAGAGCAAAGCACGAAAAAAATCTCTTGCGTTGTGCTCCAAGTTTCCTCATGTATCACCACAAACTGGCTTACTCTTACACTCTCTTGAGTGTGTCTACCCAACTAAATGTTTTAGGAAATAAGTTGTTTGAAAGTTCAGCTGCTATTCATGTGTGATACAAAGGTTGCAAATTAAAGAGCACAGTGTGGCGATTGCAGGGCCATAGATAGCCAGAGGGTAGCCAGAGTGTAGCAAAGCAGGCATGTGTCCCATTCCAAACATATCTGTAATGCCATACGATATCAACCCAGTCCTCACACTTCTTGGTCATGTGCATCCCTCCCAACCACCTGTGTTCCTCCACTTTCTCAAAGAAAAATTCCTGGCTATGCCACTGGTCGTGACACAGAAATGTATAGCCAGTGTTCTTAAACGTCAGGAGGCGTGCATTATTCACTAGGTTACTTTTTCTTTATGGCACAACACATATTTGGCTTTGTGGAATTGGACATTTTAACTGTATTTCACCACATAATGACGCCTCACCAACAGCTGTGCTTTTTCCCATATTTTCTTTTAGTATGCTCATATTCATTGCTCTTTAAAATTTCTTGGTCCTATTGAAAATAAATGCGTTGAAGCTGACTGCGTGTGGTAAACTGTAATCTACAGTCAAGGTAATTATAGAGCTCTGGGATGCCCCTGGAACCCTTTCCAATAGCAGTGTTCAAGAACGTGTCCTACAGGGACTGCTGAGTTATTTTTATTGAATTTGAGTTCTCTGATTGGAAAGAAGAAAAACATTTGTACACTTACTCTTATTTGCAAACTGGCTTTCAGTTTTGCTAAAAATGACATCAGGCGACTAAATTTAGTTGGAAAATGAAAGTCAGAACCATATGAATCATTCACTCATTTTGGCTAACTCAAATATTCTCGTTGACATTATTCTGAAACCTTTACTGTTTTGCCCTCATAGACAAAAGAGTGACTGGTCCACATATATGTGGCCTATCTGTGACCTCATGTTAACTCATGTAGTATTTGTACTGTTACAAAGAAAAAAAAAATGAGGGGGAAAAAAGGGAGGGGGGTGTTGCCTGGATGTACGCTTGTGTGCAGTGGGCAGCTAGTAGCTTGCATTTTAATTTGGCCCAGCTATCTTGGGCTTGTAAGGGGTGCTTTTACGGGTGTTGTATACATTAGTGGAAAGGGACTGAGGCTGCCAAACAAACTCCATGTCACGCACTGTCAGATACTGAAGAACTAGGGGAAGAAGTCGAAACCGTGTAGGGGCAAGGCTTCAAGAGTACTAATGGCTGTGTATTTTAATCCAACCTCAAGAAAGTGTGCCATCACCTAGAGAGAGCTGCTAGCCACAATTTTCGTCCTACCGTGTAGTGGTAGCGGCTCGCTGTGTTTGCTGTGCCACTTGCAGCCCTCTGCTGTGGCCTGCTGTAGAGAGAGAGAGATGTTCCAGTGTGACTCCCTCTCCCCTTCCTTGTAAATAGCTCTTACCGAGACGGGACAGGACGCAGGGAGCTGGATATACTCCCGCCTGTACAGTGATCAACATTGCGCCTTCTGCCTGTCTTGTTTACTCATACACTGTGCTGGAGAGAGAAGCGTAATATGTGCCAACCTTGGGGGGAGGGGTTTTTTTGTTTCGTACTACTACACAAATGCAGTATTCTTTCCCTTCCCGACACCTTGAAATCAACAGAAAGTGTTAGTGTGGCCATGTATATATTATATCCTTGTCACTTTGAAGGCTCCTCGATATAATTGTGCAGTTTTCTCTTGATTCTCCAGTCTCGTCTCAGCGCGTCAAGAGTCAGCATAGTGTTAAAACTGTCTGGAACAGAATCATTTTTTTCCCTTGCCAACCTCATTGTAAACAGTCACCTTCACCTGTTTTTGATCTCAGCTGTGAGGCGAGAGATGTTTGCAAGTGCATGCTCAGAGAAAGGTAAACTTGGAGAAAGCTGCATTCTTGTACCAAAAATATATATATTTTTCTTCATTCGTGACAGTTTTTGTGTCAATGGTTTTGTATCTTCAAGGATAAGTGTGGGTAGTAAGCTGTGTCTCAGTGGTTTCTATTCTTTGTTGATTTGTTGTTTTTTTCTTTTACACGCATTCTTTTACTGGTATGTTTACAAGCTTTTAATTTATGTGTTACTGAGTGTTGTCAAGTGGCATTTTATTGAGCATGCCTATGAAATGTAGGTGCTGTGTGAAAGGGCCCTGTAGCCTTTGACACCATATTGCGTTTAAAAAGGGACAAACTGAGCAAATGATCATGTGTGCCTTTATAGCTTGAACATGCCACAAAGGAGTCATGGAATTATGTTTCAATCCTGTCTGTTAGCCGAGTGACGAATTCCTGATTCGTACTCTGCATTAGAAGCATGTATACAAAAGAATGGTAGGTTTATGTTAGCAACAAAGACTAAATCATCTGCTTCATGTGTCTGTCCCGCACAGTCAATATCTAAACACTAATAAACAGGGAAGGTTGGTCACATGAGCAGACTTCAGAAGGCGTGCGACACATTTTCTCATTTGTGAAGCTACAAACATTATACGGTCTTTGTTTTTTCAAACACTTGCAACATTATGAACATTATGGTGCAATTACACCCATGAGTGTGGTCATACAGACACGAAGACAGCATGTCAAGGATATGCGCATGACGTGTGTGGAAATTTTTATTATGATGTTGCTTGAAATTGCGAGGCACAGACGGGCATCTGCTTCACCTTGAAACCGGCATGTGTATATCTCAAGAATGCTCAGGTCATGGAGCATGCAAAGTTTAATCAAAAAAGCTACCACTTGTACAAACCAAGTTTGTAGTTTTGTTCAGTTATGGCTGAAGGGCACAATGTCATTTTCTCTCTTATGGGTACATATTGAGCAAAAAGCAAATTATATGTAAGCACTTTGACAATATCAGTTGCTGGATTTTAAGCATAGTGGCTGAGTGCTTTCTAGATATTTTTTTTATGCAGCAATGCCACTGTTGCTTGGTGAATCGGCCACAGGTCTGGAAACATTATTTTCTCAGTGGAAAACAAAAACAGAGGTGCATATCAGTCTTGCATTTTTGTGATTTTGCATTGTGCAGTTCAACCACAAGTGTTCTGTGCACCTTTAGAACATTTACTTATAGCTTGATTTTGTTTACATTAAATCTAATACAATCCTCTGGATCAATGGAATGAGACACTTTTTTTAGCCTGTTTTTTTAGAAACATTTTGTACTGGTAAAGTAATAGTGTATGGGGAGAAAGTGCTTTTTGGTTTTATGCGTTTACATATGACTGAGTCATTTTTAGCATTCATATGCATGCAAGCTCACCATTTCATGGTGTTGAAACATATGTAAGGATTTATTCATAGGCCTGACATGTCTATTGTAGTTGTTGCATCACCCATCAACTGTCTGGTCCAAAAATCAAAACTTTTCTTTGGAGACACTGGTGTCAGAAGTGATGTGCTCTTTGTTGTTCCTAGCAGGGCAGACACAGGAGTGCATGCTTGCGTTTTAGCTATGTGCAATGAATCCTGCCCGAGGTCATGTGCATTAGGTACTTTTTGTTTTCTTTGAAAAGAAAGAAATGAGAAAGAACTGTAACAAATGTGTCTGCTGTTTCTCATTTGTTTCTGGAGGTTGTGTGCAATTTTTGAGAAAACTGGACTGTGTACTTGCACATGTTGTCATGATCACAAGTCTGTCTGTTGCATATCCCATTTTCAAAGATTGATGTGTTCACTTAATGCTATATGTTTGTATCAACTGTTTTTTTTAAGTGTACCATGAGTGGGCAGCTTTGAAGAATGAGAGAACTGAGCAGATAGGTTTGCTGATGTAATGAAAAAGAATGTTGCATTTTTCAATTAAGTTCATGGCTGAAGGAGTGCTGTAATGATTAAAAACAAATGAAGCTACATTTTGTCCTTGTCTGCCTTGCATTGACATTTGAGAGCGGCCAGAGTAACCACTTACATCCATAGACTAATATACTTCAACAATTATCAAGTGGCTAAGGAATATAAAACAGGATAGGTCCATGATCATATAATTAAATATGTCCCTGGACACCTACTTTATTCAGGAAGAAGTAATCAAGCTTCTTCAATGAATGGTTTGACAGTGCTGGACTCCGTATACCAAGGTGGACCCTCTATCTTGGGCATCAAGCATTTATTGTTCCATTCTGGCAAGCTTCTCTACAACTAGCATTCTTGGATAGCTTTAATTTGGTTCAGTCACCACATCTTCATATGTTCAAGCATTGAATTTTTTTTCTGAAGCATGGAAAATAAAAAAAAAATTTAAGACGTTCATTTACTCGAAATCCCAAGAATACTGTCTACATGTGTTCAGTTCCAGCAAGTGCATGTGCCTATTGCTATCAGACGACCGGAATTCTCTAAGAACTTGATTGTACCTCGCGCCTTCACCCATCTGCTACAAAAATATTGTCTCGCTCTTTATTTCCCCTTCCCTTAAGGTGAAACTTTCGTCTCTTGAAATTGTAGTGTGGCGATGTATTCCAGGGAACACTTGTCATAGCCTGTTATGCCCTGTTATTTGTTAGACAAATACCAGGGCAGCAATGCATATGCTCCTTATATCTTATGAAGCCTGGAAATGCCGCAGTACTCTGAAACCCTTTCTCCATACTGAGTGAGCACCAGGGCTGTCAAAACAAGCTTGCAAGGCCAGTTATGGCAGGTATGACTGGTGGTGACGGCTACTGGATTTATGCTCTAGGAGTCTACACGCTGGCTGGTTAAAAATCAATACTTTGTCAACTAATTTCTTTGCACATTTAGGTTTTAATAAAGTTTAGTACTAGTGTTGGCACCAGGACTAGGTCTTCGCAATAATACATTTGCAACTTTTAAGACTCTTCACCGCTAGGTGTCGCAAAATGCGAAACCCGCTATAAGGAATAATTGCTCTACTGCTTACAAAGTGCATTCATTTTGAGCAGCAGTGGCATGCATATGAAGTGTAGATGCTGTTTAGAGATTCACTCCACCCCCAACCTCCTTTCAGGCTAAAATAGTGGCACTGAAAAAGACAAGTCCCCTCATTGAAACAGCTCCAGCGAGGTTCCGAAGTGATGAGGTGCTCAGACTATTACCTCATCTTTTTATATCTTCATTTACCCTGAATTTTCATCTTTGAATTGTCTGTAGTCACTCTAAAACAAATTGTGTAATTAAGTTAAAATTTTCAACAGCCGTGCAAGTGCTCAGCTTCATCTAGTATTTAAAGATAGTGACAATGAATGTCTGATGAAGATTATAACGGAGTTCCGCTGGCTAGGGAACAAGCTTGGTCTGGTCTTGCCGGGACCTTTGGCATACTGGCAGGTGAGGCCATAGTTCCATTGTACTGGAGGGGTGTGAGGAGTAATTTGCTGATGAGATGGTGTGCCTGAAAGCAAAACTTGCCTCTCAATCGCTCATGGAGTAGGAAGGGTACAAGTAGGGACTGGATGGACAGGCTTGTTTATTGATATACCTCTTGGTGTATAGCTTGTGAGCTAGTCTACTACAAGTGTGGGGGATAGTGAAAGAGTATAATACTTAGAAGTGAGCATTGTACGTGTTGCCTGAGAAAAATATTCCTTGTATGGCAAACAAGGCAACTAGTGCAAGAAATATCACGTTAAATCCGTGCTGCGAGGTCTGGCGCAAATTTACACCAGGGCCTGGCTCGGAAGACACCACGCCACTATCTCGAATATAAGACATGCCCACAAGGGGGACAAAGGACGTCCTGCCCAGTGGCGGGGTGGGGGTAGCCGAGTCGGCCCCGTACCTTTACTTCATTTGACCTGCCCCGTTATTGCCACGCAGGTTTACTTCCCATTTAATGTAACCCAGGAAAGCCGCAGGGGCGAAAGGCAGGCCATTATGAAAAGTGCGTCATTGCTTCATTTCCATTTTTGCATTCGTTGCCATGCTTTTTCGGATTCGATCGAACCACCTGCGCTGGCTCCAGTGATGAAGCGAGAGGTTGGCACACGAGGCCCATGCCGCACTAAGAAAACAAATTGTTTTGCTACACTCTACCACATCTGCCTGTGTGGCCCCCATTTCAAATAAAGGTGGTGCCCCTCCCCCGCCTCCTCGTCCTCCTCTTCCTCCTCCAAAAAAGAAAATGTCTGCGCCCTTGCTACAGCAGCGACATACAGCGCATATGCGTACGCACGAGGGGTGCTCACCTCAGCGGGGGTTGACTGCGAAGAACTTTCGTTCTTCATTTAGAAGCCATGGTTGTGGCTGTTTCATGCAAAGAAATAACGAGGGAAGGGTCAAGAAGAACCTTCATCCCCGGCCGGAAGGGTCGTGCTGCGCATGCCTGTCTTCTTCTTCTTTTTTTTTTAACAGCGAAAGCTCTTATGAGATCACAACAAGGGCCGTTTTTGGCACCGTAGTTGTACGTCGCTGCTACTGATGTTCATAACCACTAGCTAGGAAAAAAAAAGAAAACTAAGTGAACAAAAAGCAGTAAAGAGACGTTGGCATTCGAATCCGGTTTCACAGGGTGTCAGTCCAGTTTGCTTGCTTTTTCCTCTCTTGTGGCTCTTACCCACTAATGGGTATAGGCCAACGAGCCGGAAGTTAATAAAAGTGAAGAATTAAGGTCTACACCGGGTAAAAGGAAAAGCTAATGCGTTGTTCGGTTTTAATAGAATATCACAATTTTTTACACAGAGAAAAAAATAAAAGAAAAAATAGAATTTATTGAATGAATTATGCGTGATACATGATTCTTTAGTAGTGTTAAATTCATGCTATGTAATACTGAAATGCTGAATTTAAGCTTGGTTTGGAAGTGGGGCTAATAACTGACTCGGCAAGGTAATCCTCTTGTGTCCCACAGGAATTAGCAGGTTCCTGCCACTAATTTCCATTGAACCCGCCCCAAAGAACAGAATATCTACCACTGAGCCATGGCAGTTTTTTTTTTCTTTATTGCTTTGCATATCAAGACTTGACACAATCGAGAAAATACAAAGGAATAGCAACACAACCACAAAGTACAATGAAGAACCGTCAGCTGTGAGCTGAACATAGATCAATGTTTTCACATGACTAAGTGGTTCAACTCGCCCAATTCACTTCGGTACATCCTCCTGCCCCTTCAACACTTCAAGAATATGGCACACATGTTCACAAAACTATTCTCGCACAGATTGCACTTCTGCAACCGCATTTCGACAGGCATTTCGAGTTTGCCATTATGGAAGGCCAGGAGCATAATTAGATCATAAAGTAAGCCAGCCTCGTTTTTACCAGGAAGACTTCAGTGTCCCTTTAATGGTACATCTTTTTTCAAGGTTTTCTGCAATATACCATAGAAAAACACTCCGCTATCCCGCCGTGTTGGTCTAGTGGCTAAGGTACTCGGCTGCTGACCCGCAGGTCGCGAGATCGAATCCCGGCTGTGGTGGCTGCATTTCCGATGGAGGTAGAAATGTTGTAGGCCCGTGCGCTCAGATTTGGGTGCACGTTAAAGAACCCCAGGTGGTCGAAATTTCCGGAGCCCTCCACCACGGCGTCTCTGATAATCACAGGGTGGTTTTGAGACATGAAACCCCGCTTATCAATCAAACCAAAAAACACCCAGCTCCAGCAATCTATAAACTTGTGTTCCATTGTTTCCGGTTTATTGCATAAGTAACAACGTGTGCCTCATGGGACGAATAACCAACCTATCGTCCAACTAGTGGCGTACCAACTCTTTCACGAGGGGGGGGGGGGAGGGGGGGGCAAACGTACCTTCGTCAGCAGATATATCTTGCTATCACGCCTCTTTCTGCGATTATGCTTTGGCAGTTAACATCTACAGATACCACAATGGTTTGTCTAATAAATTTACCATGGATGTTAGTCGTCGGGAATGAGATTTACCAAGATTCAGTGAGCATACACCGACGTTGAACAGAGCTATAGCTGCCAAACACCAAAACGCACATTCGGCAAACCCTTCTCTATGAATGTACTGTAAATATTTCATTACCCCCGTAAAGACGCGTTTTACTTTCGTCTTATAGGCCGGCTCCCATCACGGAGAGTTCAACAATGTTTTTTTTTTTTCAACGAATTACCGCTGTTATATTTTTCATAACAAGTATTACACTTTGTCACAAACATCTGCAATCCTCGTCTTACCCGCACGCCCCATCGTCCAGAGAAGGGCGCTTTTGTGTTGGGGGGACGACATCCGGCGACTATAACGACCCTGCATGGCGCCGGCTCGTCCGCCCTGCCCCTGACCGGAAGGGGAACCGGTGGTATAAACAAGGAAAATTACTCCCAGATGAGACGGGAGCACGCGTACGCCCCTGAAAAAGTTTGGACTGCTTTGAATTCGGCAGTTTACGTGTAGCCAGAAAGAAGTGCAGTCGTCGGTGTCGCGAGTCTCGCGTAGGCGAGGAGCATGGAGTGACCCGCGCAACTTATTGAGACGGCTGCAATTCCGGGCACCCTCGTGGTCTACTATAAGCTGGCGAGATCTTCAGCGACACCCCGTCAACTCCCCTACGGGTACCAATAGCTGGCCTGGTCCGTATGGAACTTTTTATTTTGACTTTTTAACTTATTTTATTATAACAATCTTTTAATTAATTGTAGTTGTGTGCGCTGCGTCGCACGTCGAAGCTCAGAAGTGCGAGGCTGAGCTTCTCGTAAATTTTTTTTTGTCTCTCCTGTAGATTCATCATGTTCCGCGTGTTAGTCTTTTGTTTGTACTTGTTGTATTGTTTTTAAAGCATATTTTGTTATATAGTTGTTCTTTCCATCGCACGTATTAGTGTTGTTTCCTCTGTTATTTTTTTGTATTTTCCTTAAATATTTGCCTGCCTTTAATCCAATGTTCGTGTCAGCTCTATGAGTGGGTCGGTCACGCTCATACTTCACCACACGT